GGTTCGCTATATGAACGACTACTTTGCTATTTGGCAACATGGAAAAGATAACCTTGATAATTTTCTTGGTTTGATGAACAGGATGGATAGGAAAAAAGGAAAGTGGTTTACCTTTACTTAATGTCCCAGTTAGCAGAGGGAACAATATTAGGCCGATATATGTATAGGAAACCCACAAATACAGGTTTCTTTTTGAATTTCTTCTCCAACTACATTTATGAGCCTAAGGTAGGGAGGCGATAGAAATAAAAAAACGGCCAACATCCTGAATAGAAGGAATGAGTGTAGGAAGTTAAGCAGAAACTACTTGTGGCTGTTAGATAGGTTTAGAGGGGGGAACGAGAAGTACCATTAAGCAAGAGGAGGCTTAATTAGTCTGGAATTTGGTTTTGACTCTCACATCACACTAATTTTAAGAGCAATGCACTAACAAATCATGCGTGCAATGGGACGCAATCACATGCGGTAGCATTGCAGGATCAAAGGCATAAGTGTTTTAGGAAAGGATGCAACTGTTCGGTTTCAATTGTGCCAATTTCACACTCCAGCTGTAGCCACTTCACATGTCATTCGCAGCCACTTAACTTATGAGCAAACAGAGGCAAAGCATAGGACATACAAACAAAACGAGATGCATAAGTGGACCAAATTGGAATATAAGAAGGAAGTAGGTTTAAAGGAAACCTTTATTGCCTTTATGTTTTTGGTAAATTATCGATAATCATGGTGCCCTGCTCTGATAATGTCCGTCACATGAAGACGAAAGCTCAGCAAGATTCATCGAAGTTGCAGGGTAGTGCGTCAAGGACCTATTCATACAGATTTACAGCCACATCTCCAAGGCAACCCTCCACAACCTCCGGTGGAACCAACTTACGAATCCCTCTCACTCGCCTCGTCAAGCTAAATGAAAGGTAATCCGAAAGAAACTTCTTACAAGAAGTATTTAGGTAAATAACAGATAAACTTTACCTATCCCAAAACAGACCTATTGATAGATGGGGACGAGAATAATAAGCTGGAGTCCTGGAGCCTTATGGATTATTAAGAAAGATAGTATTATTTGACCCAACCAACTGTATGATTAAGTATTTGCATCATTTAGAATGATAACAGATAAGAATTATAATTACTTACACAAAAATACAATATAGCGGAAGGTATTTAGGGATTTATCCAAGGCAGTCCTAAAATGTCAGCAATTTTGGGATGGCATTTATTTTTAATTAGCTCTTACTTAATTTAAACAGTTAAAAATAGAATAAGAAAGTAGGCTAGCAAATATATCCCATTGATTTGTCCATGTCCAGGTGAGCAATTTAAGTTAGTCGGAATTCGTTTTGGCTCGAATTCTTGATTCTAAAAAAACATCAAAATTAATCAGAGTATCGTTTGGAGATAATAAAAAGTCTAGCCCGAATTCATGCATCAGAAAACGCAGTGATCTCAATTTTATTGATATAGTTCTCTATATACATCAATATATCTTATACACAAATAGTTAGGACAGTGATGGTAACATTGCCACCTCATATTGAGACTAGGTAAAGTAAAGTTAAAGAGAGCATCGATAAATGTAGAAGATAAAAACTATAATATACGAAGTCATAAAAGAGCCCGTTAAAACCACACTAATATACTTACCATTAGTTCATGTTTTGTACCAAAAGCCAGTATAGAAAAGCCCTCGATGATTGTCTCAACCCCCATAGGTTTATCCGAATCACTAAGGGAAGAAGTAAGCACTTTAATAAATCCAGATTTGGAATCGACCTCAGAAACAGACTTATTTCTACCATTGACGAGGGTAGGAGCATCATTACAAGTAATACACACATTTCCAGGAGATATTGGAGCCTCTATTGGAAGAAGAAAGGAAGAGGGATCAGGAACACGTGATTTTTCATCATACTCTTGACTAAAATGGGTTTCCTGAAGTCGCGTATCGTAGGAGAGAACAGAAGAATGAGTGAGGCACACAGGCTGAGGAAAATCTGATATCGATGACTGGATAGAAAATCCATTGAAAACACTGCAATCAGTTTCCGAGCATTTTTGGCTATTTTCTATATCCAACACATCCGAGGAGTTCTTAATAGCGCATCCAGAGGCGGCAACTCCATTTGATATTACTGGAATGGTATTTAAATCATTTGTAGTCATTTCCAGAGAAAGATTCGCAGACAACTGGCTCGGCAAGGACTTTGAAATACAAAAATTTTCATGATATAGATTTTTAGTAGAAAGAGATTCTGTGAGACTATCATCGACGCGGAGGGCCATTCCTGAAGGGCCTCATGGAGATCCAGATCTATCGCGAAAACGGAAACACAGCTAGCAAAAAATCAAGAGCCTCCTATTCTTTATAATCATAGCATTAAATGGAAATGCTCATTATTTAAGTAGAACTCATATTACTGAAATGAATGAGTGAAATAAATCAGAAAACAATACAACCGTCGGAAAAACCCGCGCGCCCTGCTGAGAGGGACATGGTTAGGCCAGTAAGTGAAGAGGAGTCAACAATAAATTATAAGTTAAAATTTAATTTTTTTAATAATATCATTAAAATAAAAATATTTTGATATATATGACTGTAATGTGGATTGAATTTGAACACATTTAGTAGTGCGCTCGTCAATGTTTAAACTTGATCAATTATTTTTCAAATAAACGTCTATACTACGCCATTACAATTAGGCTAAAGTAAAAACTAAAGTCATGGAACAGAACATCCTTTTAGAAGCAAGGATAGATAAGATAGCATTGTATCGCAAAGCCTAAATATTTCATTGGGGAAAAGTTAGACCCTAAATACTTGAATCACCTTAAGCAACCCAGGCTGATTCAAATCAATTTGTACACTAATTAATAACGACATAGAATAAAACCCGATATAAAAGTCATTCATTTTGCCTTAATTTGACTTAAAAAGTACAATATAAATTGAGATGAATCAGCTACTGAAGTTAAATAAGGAAAAAATCACCTAACCCAATTTAATTACAAACTTATAATGAAGCAATCCTGTCTTGTAAGTCATCGGATTATATTTCTCATCCAGACTCTCTCCCCGAATAAAAAAATTCATATTAGAATCCAAAACTACTATTGTTAGGATTAATGCTATATAATGTAATTTGAGCCACAGCATTTGCCTCTTCACCAGAAATTAGGGCTAGTATAGACCAGATTGAAAAAGTTTAGTATTGAGAACCAAATGCGATACTTTTAGCTATATTTTGAAATACATCTCTTAAAAATGTATTAATTCAAGCCATTTAGTAAAACCTACTAGGACATCCATTTGAACGGACTAAGTCAATTAGACTGAGGTATTATAGTAACTTAGTTATAAAGTTTGAAGTCAT